CGTGCGGCCAGTCACGACATCCCGTCTCGTGCTTGATGTTACGGTGTGTTGCTCTCCGCAAATCGAGTTGGATGTCGCGAGGACAAGAATCAAGACTGAGTAATAGAAATTTCCATGATTAAATATTTCAGTTTGCCAGAACTTTTCATACATTTCTATGGATTTTTGCTGTCATAGAAACGAGAAAAAGTAACAAGGAAAGAAGACGATGTCCCTTCATAGGATTGCATGGAGGTAATAGAGATCCATATCTTGAAAAGGCGGGAAAGGAAGGTGCACGCGATTGAAACCAAACACCTCATAAAACTTACAATAGTGTGTACTATGTCGTAAGAGCATCTACAACCAGAACTCACAAATGGGACCCCTACACGCCTGTGGACGCGTTCGCGGACATCGAACGGTCACCCCTTATATCTCCGCGTCCGCTGCCGTCCCCCTCAAATCCATGCTAACCACGCAATGTGATCAACATTTTACGTAGAAACAACTTGAACATATAGCAGTATAAAACATATATATTGGGAATGGCAAGTTTCGTACAATCAGACACAAAATGTCCATCATCACCTACATATGATAAGCCTAAATAATAGATAAACTCCTACATGTAGGTGTTTGCTGTCGAAGGGAATTTGTCGTTGTCGTCGCTCATCATGCCGCTGTCATAGGACAACGAAGAGGAGATGATTCCGACCAAATGCCAAGCGGTGCCGGGCCTGCTCCTTGGTGAGTCGGGCGGCTTTCGCACTGGCGGCCACCCCGTCCTTCGCGAGGTTCCCAGAATCTTCGATGTCGAGCCGAAGAGCCTTTGCACTTTTTCGGTGGCGGGCATCCATCTCCGCCGAGGTCTCTGGCCGGAGGATGACATCACGGAGGAGATCCTCCTCCGGGTCAACCAGCATGGACCTACAGAATTCGCAGCTGCTGCGGGAGGAACCCGCAGTCTCTCGGACATGCTGCATAGCATGTCTGGCTCGCGCCTCTGATTTGTACGTCCTCCTTGCAAGCTCGGTAGTGCGGGAACAAGCACCCTGCTCCGAACGGGAGGAGCGGGGCCCAAAGTGGTAGGGGAGGGTCACAAAGGGCGACGGATCTGGACCGGCACAGATCGCGACGGGCTGACGTGGTCCGTTGCATTGCCTCGTCGGGAAACGATGGAGAACACTGAGTTGGAGCTCCTACCTTTGTCCATCCATGAACCGCGGAGCACAGCGCAAAGGGTGAGGTCTCCTCATCATCAAAATCCCACTCCGGCAAGGCATCCCTGTCGATGGGCTCCGCCTCGTTGTTGGTGGATCCGCCACTAAAATTGCTGCCAGAACCAACCATGGTAGCCCGAGAAGAGGAAGCGATGGGGATGGGAGCGAACCTGAGTGGTGTAGAAGGGGAGAGGAGAGGCCGATACTGAGCTATGTTTGCGCCCTAGTGGGGATGGGTTGGGCAAGAACGAACATGTTCGATGTGACTGTCACGTCCGGGCGTGTCGATCTGCCCAGACGATAGGGCTAACTATGTGGGATCCAGTTGGGTGGCAATTTATGGGTTGAGTAGTGACCAGGCTATCTGCCCATATGTTTGGGGGGATATGAGCGCTCCGTTGTACATGCTTTAAATCTGGGCATGGGAAGCCTCGCCCGCTGGTGTCTAGGCTGGGCTTGTGCCTCTCAGCTGGAAAGCCCCCAAAAGTCCAAGAGACCTTATTTTTTGGTATTTTTTTAAAATAGGTATGCTATTGTATCAATTTATCACAAGATAATTTATTTATTATTTTTAATAAAAATATAGCCATTTCGTGCCCGAGCAGGGTGGGATAAGACCCGGGCTCGGAATTTTCAGGCCGGGCTCTGGTAGGTCCGGCCATTTTAATGAATTTATTTCTTTTCCAGGGCTAAGCTGTTTTAAGTACTTGGTCAACAATCACTAACCAATGATAAGATAACAAGACTAGGCCTACTATCAATTTTCATAGTCAACTGTGTCCTTAGTCACAATCTAAAATTAGTATAGGTATAGACTTGCGGGGTTAACAATTTTAAGCATGTATGTGTAGGTTACCTATAAAATAGTTGGACACCTAACTTTTGGAGAACTTATTGTGGAAGTGCATAGTATGGTCGTCCCACCGTTATACGAAGTGTGTAGTCGTTCTTGTCATTGAGGGATTTTTCGGATTCCCTCCGCTCCAGACTCAGCTCACGGAGCTAGTGGACCTACAGGCTAAAATAGTGTAGTTGGAATGTAGGTGCTCCCCAGATCCCGTAATTCCGTGGAGCCGGTGGAGAGCCGAACAGGGCCTGAGTAAGGACACCCACTCAGAGCAGGATGCTTTATAGCTGAGCTCGGATGATACTGCTGGCCCAAGTTAATGACAGAGAAACTATTGATTAAACAAGCTTTATCTACGGGAGCACATCACCTTGTCGATGCTATGGAGGAACTTTAGGCCGAGACCACGATTAGTCATCACCTGATAAATATCTGCGAAGAACTTGAGCCGCTACCCGTACTTGGCGACAGACATGGTGCTCTCCTTGAGCATGCGGTACTTGCCGCAAAGATGGTTGGTGTGTGCAGTGTTATTGTTGAGGAAGTACAGGCAGAGGCGATTCCATGTTGATAAGGCAGTGCCGTCATAGGACATCACAAGTCTAGAAGACCATTGTCAATCATGGTGTAGATCCACAACATGATCCTGATGTCGGTACGCTGCCACTCGGGGTCATCAATTTCAAGTTCAGATGTCTCTTTAAGGTGGTTGAGTGCATTGGAGGTGGTGAGGACGAACCATAAAGAATGCGCCATTTATATTGGTTGTTGACACGTGGGTTGAGTTTGAATGTGAAGTAGGACTGGATGTTGCTATTATGGACGGCAATGGGGCCTGAAGCTGGTAAGACTAGTTACAGTGGAGATTAACTTACACTAGTTACAGACACGCTATTATAGACTATGTTACTACCTTCATAGTGGGTAGTAAGGCTACTCATAGCAGGGAGTATCATATACTAGTAAAAGGCATACGATACTAGTGTAGATACTACCTCCATAGTGAATACTATCATAGAGTAATAACACAAAGTAAGATATCTTTTAACATGATACAATGTCTATCTATATTACTTTAACCCTCTCTCTCTTCTTTAATTGTCTGCCACATAAGTATGTTTGCTAGTCTCAAGTGCATGATACCAGTTATGTTACCCCCACTATGGCCAGTCAAACATATGTGTAGTGTCATGTAAAGCTTCATTCATTAGGTAATAGACTCAATTTGTCTTGGTATGTGTGATGCTACTCATAATGAGTAACTAGCTAAGTTACTCAATTTACCGCTCTCCTCATTAACTGATTTACTAAGCAATTTTGATGAGGTGACATGGAATTAAATGAAGAAGAGAGAATTTAGTATCATATCGTGATAGCGTATCATAATAAATGATATGCTAATATGTGTCATGCATGACAATAAATAAGATAATATCTAAGATACTAATACATAATATTATGCATTATAGAGGTAATATCATAGAATAGTATCATATGCATGATACAAACTTATGATACTACTCATTATGGACAGCCTTAGCCACGCAAATGTATGGGTCACTTTGCTATAAATTATCTTTCTGACGTCAAAGTGCACGCATTATTGCAGAGTTCACTTGCGTACAATTTAGGTCAAAAATTATTGGTGCACAAGGTATATACTATATCAAAGTCAACCACAGTTAATTAAGTGATACGAATAAGTACTAGCTAGGTTTTATTTTTTGCGAGGTGGGGTACTAGCTAGCTAGCTAGGGTCGTCCTTGTGATGGCTCCCTATAAATAGCATCCTACTCCCTCATATGGACATGTACAGTTAAGCAGCTAGCTAGCTCATCTCCATCGCATCTGTTCTTGCTATATTCTCCACTAGAACCACCCAATCCATCAATGGCTTCATCTCTGAAGGTGGCCACCATCGTTGCTGTTTGCATCGTGCTCGTCCTCAACATGGGTCACCCGGCGGCAGCCACAGAATGCGAAGATTGTCTGGGCGCTTGTGTTGCAATTTGCATCGCCTACGCTGAAACGACGTGCAGCGGCATCTGCACCGTCATAACTCTTGCATGCCAGGAATGTAAGGACACAGCCTTAATTGAGTGTGGTGCAATAAGCGAACTAATGCCGTTGATGTGTGCATGTGGCAAAAGTTCCTTCGTTTTATTGTTCCCCCTCGTTTCAACCATCAGTAAATATACTTGTGTGCACGTTGTGTATGTTTTGTGCTTCTTCGTACATATCATGTGTCCAACGTGTTGTCATACTCAAACAATAGGGATATATCCTTATCAAGAGAATGCGGTTCCAAAGTAGTATGTAGTTTCGCTTCCCTCGCGGTAGGGTTTCTTCTTTCTCTCAGCGCCTCATAGTGGCTAAAGATTGCATCTAATTCCTTCACAACTTGTCTTCTTCCAGCATAAAACTCCGTCCAAAATTTTCTATGATTTTTCTTCTTCACCGAATATACTAGTTTCCTTTGCTGCGCTTGATCGTTCATGAATTATTCCAACTACTTTCATGCAAGACTAGTTTAAGACCATGAACGAATTAATGTTAAGTGGTAGCTTATTATATTGATGCCAACTCCAGTATATGTAGAAGAGTTGACACCATGGGCCCGCAAAGTAAACCAATATATGGAATTAATCATGCAGTTTAGGAATACTTAGTGTGAAGTTTCCGTGGTAGCAACCGAAATATTGCAAGCGCGATTTTCTAATGCTAAGGAATCATTACTTTGAACAAGTTTGTCGGTGCTAGTTGCATGTAGGCTAACACATAGTGGCATTCATGAGGAATTGTGCCAATCAATGGATAACTTCTTGGTAGTCGCATATTATTCCGTCCGTCTGAAAATATTTGTCGAAGAAATGAATAAAAATGGATGTATCTAAGAGTAAAATACGTTAGATACATCCATTTCAACAACAATATTTCTGGACCGCTCATTGATATGGTCTAATCTAGCAAGAACTACTATTACAAGTACTTATTTTGCAGCTACGCACACCTGCTTCATCGAGCAGTTTTACATTCGCAGGGTGGCTAATAAAATGAGGGGTCCCGGTGTGCCCTAGTCGTAGTTGCCGACATGCACGGGTCGGCCGCTACGTACTTTCTTGCGTGTAAAGAGTGACCAATGACACAGATCGGTGCAGGACGTCGTCGCCATCTCCAGGAAACGGCCGTCCACTATATCCTCCACCACCCATACGGCCGGAATATAAGGATCTTAGAAACCTATACAGCTGACAATACCCGACGCAGCCCGTATCCCGAAGGAGATGTTGCGTGTAAGGAATGATTGTATTCAACTATTTTAAGTTTTAATATATGGGCGGGTTACAAAAACAACTTGAGCATAGCACTAGAAAACACTAGGGGGTGGCAAGTTTCATACAATCGGACAAAAAATTCCCATCATCACCTAGAAACAATAAGCCTAAACGGTAGATAAATTCTTTAGCGAAGGCATCGGCGGACGGAGGGAGTGGTCGTCGTTGCTCGCCATGCCACTATCGTACAACAACAAGGAGGAGATGATCACGCCAGATGTCGGGCGGCACAGACCTGCTCCCTTACGAGTCAAGTGGCTTTTGCTCGGGCGGCCACCCTCTTGCAGCGGTGGCACCGGGCATTCGTCTCCGCCGAGGTATTTGACCGGAGGATGACGTCGCGGTGAACTCCTTTGGGTCGGCCGGGGTGGACCTACAGGACCCGCAGCCGATGCGGAAGGAACCGGCTATCTAGCAGGCCAACTACCTCACACAGCGAGCAGCTCGCACATCCGATTCGTACATCTTCCGCCGCGGGCTTGGCGGTGGCGAGAACGAGCACCCATCGTCCGGAAGGAGCAGGGCCAATAGTGGTAGGGGAGGGCCTTTGAGGGTGACAGATCTAGACCGACGAGGACCTCGATAGGTCAGCGCGGTCGGCTGCATTGCCTCGCCGGGCTATTGGGGACATTGCAGAGCTCGAGCTCCTGCCCCTGTCCATCCGTGACGGGCAAAGCGCGATGCGAAGGGCGAGGTCCTCGTTGTCCCAATCCGACTGCAGCAAGCCATCCCAGTCGATGGGATCCGCCTCGTAGCCAGATTTGCTGCCACAGTCGCTGCGAGAACCAGCCACGATTGTCTGGAAAGGGGAAGCGACAGGGACGGGAGCGAACATGAGTGGAGTGGAAGGGGAGCGGAGAGGCCAAGAGTGAGCTATGTTTGCGCCGCGATGGGGATGGGGTGGTCCATCGTGTGCCGATCCGACGTGGCTGCCGCATCCGGTCCGCCCATATCCACCATAGATACAGGTTAGATTTGGAGCTATTGTTCAGCCCGGCTGCTTGGGCTAATTATGTGGGATCCGGTTGGGTGGCAATTTGCGGCTCGGACAGTGATCAGACTGTCCGCACAGACGTTTGTGGCGGTCTGAGGGCTCCCGTTGTACATGCTATAAGGGCCAGTTCTTTTGAGCCATGGCTTCTACATAAGCTGCGCTGGAAATAAGCCCTTGATAAGCTGCAGTGGAAATAAGCCCATGAAATTAAGCCATCCAGTTCTTTTGTGTGAGCTTATGTCCCAAGTTCTCTGGTGAAAGTCTACAATACCCCTAAAATGTCCAAAAACTAGGTGCACATGAGCACTGCCCTTCCTGAAGATATGTCAACAGAGAACAGCTATAGTCGATCTGGGCGGCGGCGGCGGAGGTACAGGAGGCAACGGCTGGACGAACTGCGGAACATGAGGCAGCGGTCGGATTGAACAAGCTGCTGCCTGTTCGGCCTCAAGTCTAGCTGTGCTCGGCGGCCTCGTGCTCGGCGGTGTGCTGTAGGGTACGGCTAGCGGCGGCGACAGAACGAAGGAGCTGGGCTTGGCTTGTGCCTCTCAGCAGAAAATAAGGTCGCATGGTATAGAAGCTAGGCTGGGCTTGTGCCTCTCAGCAGAAAAGCTCCCAAAATCCCATGCGAACTTATTTTTGGGATTTTATATGATAATAACTATGTATGATACTGCATCAATTAATCACAAAATAATTCATTTATTATTTTTAAATGCAAATATAACTATTTTGTGCCCAAGGGAGGTGGGGTCAGACCCTGGCCTCGGCATTCTAATCCGGTTCTGGCAGGCCCAACCATTTTAATATATTTATTTATTTATTCCATGATTAAGCCGTTTTAAATACTTGGTCAGCAATCTCTAACCAATGATAAGATCACAAGACAAGGCCTAGCGAACTACTATCTATTTTCGTAGTCAACCGTGCCGCTAGTCAAACTACTCCAATCCAGTTATATTGATGCGTGCTCATCACCAGTTCACCATGTTTTAAAGCAACCGAGTTATCTTTCTTTTTCACGGAAAAGCTCCGTCTTTATACTAAAAGACTTCCAACATTCTGGAAAACATATTGTTGATGTGGTTAAGAAGCAATTAAACAATACTTAGTGGGCAATCTCCGTGACAGCAATCCAAATATTGCTACTAGTTTTCTAATGCAAAGGAGTTGTTGCTTTCGATAAGCTCGGTACTAGTTGCATTGTTGTCTAATAGTATTATGTGACGTTGGTAAGAAATTACGTCCAGCAAAGGATAACATCTTAATTAGCATTAAGAGCTAGAGCCTTGCCTATTTTTTCCTAGAAACCGGGACAACACTGCCGCGTACGTACGGATTGATTAAGTAGTAATTATTCTGTATTTTTTTCATTGATATATAGGTATGGATCAGTGTATATGTGGAGTGTACACAATCCCTTGATGGAACTAGGCCGTTTTAAGTACTTGGTCAGCAATATCAAACTAATGATAAGACCTCAAGACTGGGCATCCTCTACAACACTAAGCTCTCTAGTTTTAATGAGCCTACATTCAATTGAGGTATCCAATTAAAATTGGGTCATCCGATTTTAACCAAGCCAACAATTTCTCAAAGCTCCACGATTCTATTCTTCTATACTATACACTATGCTTTCTAATTTCTAAGGCCTCACAATTAATTGAGTTAATCAATTTAGAATTGGGTCATCCGATTTGGACTGGGTCAACAATTTCTCAAGCTCTCTCATTCAATTCTTTTTATTCACCATGTTCCAAAAATTTGAAGCTCTTTCATTCAATTGAGCTTTTCAATTTTGATTTGGTTTACGATTTTGACTGGGTCAATGATTATTCAAATCAATCAACAACAACCGGCCTATAAAAACATATCAATCCCCCGCACCCTCCCACCACCTAGAGAAAAGAAGCGTCGCCATGTGATATTGTAGCATCAATATATTGCATGCAATCACCGACGCAGAAATTTCCACAGATAAATATAAGTTGGTTAGCCAATAACATGGAATCACACCACAAAAGGTCGACCAAATCACAGCATTATAAATAAAAATAAAACGCACTCTATCATCTCCCCCACCCGTCAAACTGAATATTCCATCAGCTATAAAATATAGGGGGCATCCGTTTTTTAGAAAGACAAATTTCTTTAACTTTGACCAAGCTCAGAGCAAAAAATATCGACATCCATAATATTAAACAAACAAATATGGAAATTCATTTTGTGATGAATCTGAAAATACCGATTTGATATTGCAGATTTTGATATATTTCTTTACAAATTTGACCAAGCTTAAAAAGTTTGACTTTTTTAAAAAATTACACCTTACATTTTGAAACAACGTGATTATTTAAAAAAAACACAAACAGCGCAGCAAAGCGCGCACAACCCTTCTAGTAGCCTCTATTTACAAAGCCAATTGTGCTGTTAGTCATATGTGTCCTACAATTCAGTTATATGTATCGTGATCATCAGTAGTTAGTTCAAACATATCTGTCAATGTACACGCGTTTATGCATTTTAGCTATGATTTGCTGCCCATGAATTAATGCACCGAGCGGTTTTTTTTCTTTTATTTTTATTTTGGCTCGTGCAACTAGCTAGCAGGGAGTGTTAGTGAATATAACTTTATAAAATGCGATTATAATTGAATATTTCAGTTTCCTACATGAATCTTTATTACATTGCTAAGGATACTTGCCATCAGGCAAAACAGCGTTGTTGTCTACTCTTTTCCGGGCCAATAGCTCCTGTGCGACGTTTTTCATGCGAATTGGAAGGAGTGCGATGTAGTTCGAATGAATGGCTGTGATGCGACGTCTTTGAAGCCAACAATAGCTCCAACGCGACATGGCTCTGTTTACCCGTGAAATGAAAAACACGAGGGGTTAGCGATTTGAGTTATGACACGCGGGACCCACCAGTTACTCGCATGCGGGTGGGACCCACAACTTATCCACACAAGCATGCCCGTGCTCATCAGCGTGCCCGACCCGAGCCAGCCACGAGCCCGAGCCAGCCCGCCCCCCTCCATTGCTTGCCCTGCCCCTTTCCTTTCCCACCTTCTTCTTCCTCTGCTCCGGCAACGAAGCGCGCCGCCGGCGAGTGATGTCTAGCTCGACTTCGGCCACCCGCCAATCATGGACGCAGTACGGTCCACTGCCGTTGACAAGATGCCCCGAATGCCCGCGCATGGAGCCTCTGAAGCGTTTGACTTGTGTGAGGGAAGAAAATGGCAACCGTGGGCGCGAGTTTGTGAAATGTTTGAGAAAGCCACAGCCGGGGCAGGTTAGATCTGTGTTCTTGACCAATCCTATGGTCTAATTTCTCCAGATTTCTTTCTTTTTTTCATTAGGGCGGTGGATCTGGGTGGTGGATCTAGGATTCATGCGCCGCCGGCCCCCTGTTTTTCTGGTTCTGAGGAAATGTGGGCATTTTGAGTGGCTCGATGACTATGTTGAAAGGTTGAAATTGGAGGGATCAACCCCAACCCAAGAGCTCAATTTTGGGGGGCGGCTTGCCGTGGAACAAGCCCCCAATATGGCGGATAGAGCCGATCCGATGATGCACAGTGCAGAACTGAAGTGTGAATTGAAGAAAATCGGCAAGCAACTAAAGCATCTGAATGATTTGAAGCAGCAAGCAAATATGATGGCTGGAGCATTTTATGGTTGTGTCATTGCTATGGGTTTATTTTACTTGATGTTCATTAATCGCTAGAATTTGTTAGAGTTTCAGTTAGTTA